AGCGCAGTAAGCATGATTTTAAGTTTGCACGGGGTATAGCACACCGTTTGTTGGGCGGTACGCAGGATTCTTGTATGGACCAGGGTTCTCCAGCACAGGCGTCCATGCAGACTCTGTGCGTTCCCACACCTTGTCCAGCACACGCTCGCGTTCTGAATTGTACAGGAACGTACCGTAGAGACCGGAGATCAGTGAATACGAAATGTGGATCAAGAACTTCTCATTGAACACGAAACACGTGGGGAATTGTCGAGTCATCTGCCACACGCAATCCAAGAACAGTAGCATGACTGGAGATCGCTCGTTCGGCTGGTCCATGATGTCCTTGCCTACGCCAATCCGGTCCGCGAACTTGTGGCCGAATGAACACCACTCCTTCTCCACTAGACTGGCGAAGCCTCGGATGGAGCGATAGAACGGGTCCAGAATCAGCTGCGCTAAGGTCACAAGCTGCGGCGTGCGGTCCCAGCCGTCACTACAGTGCACCAGCACCGACGCGCCGTCTTCATGGAGCACCTCTGCTACTCTACGGGCGCCTGACAACACTCGCATCACGTGCTTCAGCCATCGAGTGTCTGTAGTATAACCCAGTGTCACTTTATGATGATCAGCAACAGAAATACAGTGGCGTGCTTACTCTCGAGTCGATTGTGGTAATGTTTGTCGCTGTCTTCGACGCTGCTAGAACTAACTAGGGCTAAATCAACGCACAGATACACGTCAGCAACAATATATCACAACAGTTATGCGTTCAAACGTACACTTCATCGTATCCAAGGACTCGCGCATCTTGTGAATGTTAGCGATGCCCATAAATTCAATAGTCGCGTTGTCGTAGTGCTGGGAGTTCTCCATACCTGCAGACACAACCATCAATACATCGTTAGAAGCCGCGTACTCAAAGCAACGTGCTGTAACCATACCGTACCTTTTCCTTTTAACCGGTTGCCCTTGGTGGCGATGGGCTTGTGCGCGTCGATAATGTGAAGAGGAGGCGACATGTTGGAGCTGTTCTTGTTGGCTGAGTCGCGGTACGCGCGCAGAAGTATCCGGTCAGGTTCGGATCGGTTGCCTGCCATACCGTAGTTCGGCTGGCTGGAGCGAGACAACACGCTCTTGTTCACAGGATGGCGCCACACAACCACAGGCAGACGTGCACGTGATCGGAAGCGTGCCGACTGCACGAGCTGCTCTTCGGACATAAGCGATGGCACCACCATAAGCTGAGGGTATGTGGGGCTGAAGCGGAACTTGGAGTTCTTGAGAAGTCGCCACGTGATCCTTCCTTCCTCATTCGGCTGCTCCACGGGCGATAGAAGACCCAGGCGTAGATACTCAATAATGGGAGAATATACGAACCACCCGTCGTGCTGCTCAGGAATAGGATACCCACGCTGTTTGTAATAGTCACAAGCAAACAACGCACTCATATAACAAGGCGGCAACATGCGAAGTGCAAGCTGTTTGAGCCACTGGTGATTCGGAGTTGACGGAAGTTGGTCGTATCCATTCCCCCTTGAGTACGCGTCGTGCATGACAAGTCTCACGGCTCTCAGGTCCTTGCACGTTAGCAGAATCATGGGTCCATCGAGTTTAATCAGGTCAATAGCAGCACGCGGCAACTCAAACGAGCTGATCATCCATGACACGTCATACGGCACGAATGTGATGCGGTACGACGTGACCTTGAGCACTCCTTGCACTGCTCGGTTTCTCTTGGATATCACCACTAAGTTCACCACGCGGTGAACCTGGTCCAGCACCGATTCGCCAGGGAGCAGCTGGAAGTGGTCGATTATCATTGAATTCCGGGTGTTTTCCAATGCGTGGACGAAACTATCACGGTCATCTAAATTGTAGAAAGTGATGTTCTTCTTCTTCTCACTACCATTTCTCGCCTGGATTTTAAGCTGCATCCCCAGATCGGATTGAGGCTTGGCCGTCACCGTTGCGCAACTGTATTCCTCGTGTTGGTCATGAGCTGATAGCAGGTAGAGTATTTTCTCCTCCACATCCAAGTGTAATTGGAAACTAGTCCGCTTATTGCTGAGTCTTCCCAGCACACTGTCACTCTTTTTGACTGGAAAAGTTAACAGCGTCACCTCGGCCAAAGGGTTTAAGCCGGGCATATTGCCACCATGAACGGATTGGCTGCGTCCAATTCGCACCTTGTTCGAGCCGCTCGTATCTCGAGTTTCGGGTCGGTCGTACATTTTTTTGCTCTCCCATGACCTGCGTGCCCTTTCCACCCAGGAGCGAGGGATCTCCATGTAGTCACTAGAACTGCCTCTGGTGTCTTCGCTGCTGGTGTTTGTCGCATCCATCATTAGGTCCGTTCTGGAGCCCGACGGAGCCTTCGAGGCCAATTTGACATCATTACCCGGACTAGGCGGCCCCATGAACGGGTTTTTACTTGCCGCGCTGTCGTCTGACGTTTGCGTTGTTGCGGACGTTTTGATGTGAGCTTTAGGGCTGGAACAACTCTCCTGAGAGGCGGGGAAATTGGACGAAGACGTTATAATCTGAGTCGAAGGCATCGAGGAACAGGCTGATAGGCCTGTGGCCTGAGCAAGTGGAGCAGAGTTGCTCTCTTTGCTCGGCATTTTGCCACCGTGTCCAGCTAGAGACAGGTTCGTCTCGACAGTCAACAGCTCGCCCAGCGCGGCCGAGTCCGTTACGGATTGACGCTGCGCCGGGTACGCATCGTCTTGGCCATCGGTGGGTATATCCTCCGTGGCGGATTTCAGCATACCGCAAACACGGCTAAGGAGAGCAATCGTCTTCAAGATGTGGATCCATGCAAAAAAAAATCATTTCAACACGTTGGGTTCGAGATCCCAGTGATTCCTGTATAAACACATGTTTGGATACTTTTGTAATTTTGCGATAGTTGGACGTAATTTAATTGCGTCGTATACGGACTGAATACCTAATAAATTCTCAAATCTTTTGGCTCATTGGTGAATGTTGACCGAACCGGACAAGAACGACATTTGCGCGACATCGCACTGGGATCGAAGCCTGAATTCCAGTGGTCGACAGCAAGACGCGATCGCCTTGTATGAAGACAGCTGTGTCCTTCCGACCCCATTTGTCCGTGTTCTCGATTTGTTTGTCCGCGGCTAATTGCAACGCGTCACGCACGAATTGCGCGACGCCTGTTAATAATTCATTCGCGGGAG